CTTTTCAGAAAAGCTACTTAACATAAAACCACAGGATGAATTGCACGTTTTCAAAAGAACACACTGAAAATTCAAGCGATAGCTATGCAAATTTACGAGAATACTAAGCACGTTCTAGCAGGTGTTAGTCTGTATATCGCACACAACGTTCAGTTTATGAATTGTTTATCGTCACGACGCCACAGGACGCTGCTTTATATGTGGACAAGACAGCGAACTGGCATTCATTTTGACAACAATTTGTCGTTTTGAATGCGGGGGATTTCGGTTTGCCAGATTTTAATCTATACTACCTTTCGACATAAAGGTCGACATTGCTGAATGAGGTTACGTGTCGAGGAGCAGTTGACTGGTCGATATCTCAAAACTGGCGATATTTCAAAGGGACTTCAGGATTGTTTGATTTTAATAAGTACACACCTTGTTGCGGGAGTAAACCTGGAGAAGTTAATCTTAGTCGAACTAGACTCAGCATGGAGGAAGCTCAAATAAAGTCACAAGTTATTAAAGCTGACAGCTCGCTTACAACGACTCTATCAAGACTTGCAAACGTTCGAGTACAGGTTGAACTAATTCAAGAAGACACCAAAAGATTAAAGCAAGGATTCTCAGAAATGGCTAAACGGATAAATGTATTGACTGCAAGTTACCACGAAGAAAGGGACATAATTTTAAAACGACGCACGAAAGCATGAAACTGCAAGTTTGGTTGATAAACTTCTCACTGCCTACAGACGAGAGATTTGGCTTCTACCTGCAACTGACAGTCGCTATTTTTCATTACGACAGTTCCTTGAAGTATTCAGTATTTTTTCGGATTTGAAACTCTTTCATCATTATAGCATACATCAAACAATTAGCTACAGTACACATGGTGTCGAAAGCCTGCTGAGTAATAATTAAAAATATCGTCACTCAATGTTCAGAATGTGTAATTTTAATTTTCTGACCTTGAATTCACAATGCTGTTATAGCCCTTTGTTATTTACCCCACGTGCGTTCGGTGTGGGAGATACCAACTGCTCACAGAGTGTTTGTTATTACATTCACCCTTTTAGAAGTGCTCAGGGGAGCCTGAAGATTCTTACCAATAAGCAAATGAATCATAAATTTAAAAAAATAAACAAATAAATAAATAATCAAATAAATATAACGAATAAATATATACGACTAAGAATTTATAAGAAACGGTTCAAGGAAAGGTTAAATTACTTCCAATTATAAAGATGAAGAATTAACTAGAATTGGAGTAAAACTGAAGAGGTTTTTCTAAAAAATATATTAACGCTAGTCACGGTAGAAGATTAATCTGCTGAATTAGTTTTCAGTCGGCACAACTTTACCAGACATTTTTTGCCAAACACAGCTCCTGTTTCACTTGTAGTCATTTACCTTCTTATTTTGAACATGACACAATTAACTCATGTTGTTGTTAGAGAAAGGTGAAAGACTTTTTAAGGTATTGTTTTGTTTCCCTTATAGCCGCTGCCGTAGACTCGTAGCCATAACGCTGTATACCTATCGAGGTTCAAACAGAAGAAACTAACTGACTAAACTTAATTTTTGCTAAACGAAAAGGTGAAGTTGAATTTTCCTCTTGAATTTTGTAGGCTTGGTAAATACTGATTGCTCGGGTGATTGATATTGATTTTGTTCACGCCAGTCACAGAATATTGCATTTTAAAATTGTTTTTATAACAGCACCGGAGGCAGTCTTATTCCTTTTTTCTTTACTGCCACTTGGAGAAAGGAAAACAGCTGCGTGCGTTGAACTTCGTGTAACCGGGGTTGATCAGGAAGAGCGAAAGACATTGTCGCCTGGTATGAAGAGAATTAAAAATCATCTGTAAAACTGCAAAACAAAAACAATTATCAAAACGATGGATTTGGAGGCAATACCAGATTAACTCCTAAAACTTAATTCAATGGGGTCAAGGACTTTCCAAAGATGCTACTGACAGAGAGACACTTATTAAATTTATAGTCAGTACACTACATGATGTTACACCACGTACTTACGGTGCATCTATGAAGCTGCTGGAAGTCTGCATGTTCAGTTATGCAGTTTACAAACTTCCCTCGCTACCTCATAAACAAAACAATGTTCTGACGATTTTGCAGAGCTTTAGACTCGTAACAGATGAATAATCGCCATTTCCATGCAGCCAGGTTGTTTTCAATGTTTTGACAGTTTGTGGATGGGTCTGAGAAAATCCAAGCCCCGGCGCTCCGAGGGTTATGATGGTGTAACTTCGACTGATGAAGTGAGCAAGACTCTGCAAACAGTGGTAACCGAATACAACCCAATTCACCAGGATTCTGTCACTTGTATCGATGCATTTGCACCTGGAACTTGTGTTACAGGGAGTAAAGACTACGTAAGTATGTCATTTTCCTGGGAGGTTTGAATCCTATGTTAAAGTACTGACTGTATAAACGCTATATGGAAATCAGGAAGCTAAAACCAAGGTGACCTTACCAGGGGGATATCAGTTTCGGAGGGCGTGATAAGCGGCACGTACCCCCCGGGGAACTCCCATATTAAAAGGACGGGGGTGCTCGTTGTACCCTTTAGGGGTTAAAAACGCTGGTTTACTACCACTTACGGTGTTTCGGCCTCAAACGATCCACAGTGGGGGCTTTCGCGGTACTTCTTAGGGTATTGAGCTGAAAAAAAAAAGACGGGATAATTTGTTGTTTTAGAATTGGTAACTCTTAGGGGTGAAAAAAATTTCAAGCAATGCCCACAAAACAGGCTCTTTGTACATCTTTGGGGTTCTTTTCCTGTGTTAAAGTACTGATCATCAGTGTATAAACGCTGCATGGAAATAGGCCCTTTGCAGGATCCGGTCACATGGTACAGAATAAATTATGCTGGGACGCAAGTTACACAGTGGGACTTCCAAAACAAGGGAACTCGTACCAGTCCAGCCCGACTTACCTTTGTTTTAGAAGTCCTACTGTGTAACTTGTGTCCTAGCATAATTTATTCCGTACCATGTGACTGGATCCTGCAAAGGGCCTATTTGGAAGCTAAAACCATGGTAACCTTACCAGAGGGATATCAGTTTCAGAGGGCATGATAAGCAGCACATTCCCCCGGGGGACTCCCATATTAAAAAGGGCGGGGAGCTCATCATACCTTTTAGGGGTTGAAAGAGCAATTTTGGTACCTCTTAGGGTGTTTTAGCCTCAAACAGTCTACAGCTGGAGCTTTTGTGTACCTTTTAGGGTGTTAAGCTGAAAAAAAATGTGTCAGGAGATAATGTGTTGTTTTAGAATTAGTACCTCTTAGCAGTGAAAAAAAATTTAAGCAGCATCCACAAAACAGGATCTTGGTACCTCTTAGGGGTTCTTTTCAAAATTTCCAGAGAGCACCTTTTTTAATATGGGAGTCCTCTCCAGGCATGTACCTTTATATAAGGTGAAACATGTTGCTCTGTAAAGGCCTGGAGAAGGTTCTGTTCCTCCACCTTTTTTTGTCCTACAGTATATCACTGTTGGGATGAAATATGACCTGATAGGATTCAAGGATTTCCTTTTTTGCCTCAGTGATAAAAGTCCCCATTTTTTTTTTGCTAAAATTGGGCTTTTAAAGAATATAGTCCACTCAACTATCAAACTTTTATGGTTGGATGAATGACTGAAGAATAATTTACTGAGTTAAAAGACAAGTGTTAAGAGGGGGCTAAATGACTTATGAGGGGGCTAATAGACTTTAGGGTGGGGGCTAACAGGCTACGGGCTACTTGTCTTGGGGCTAAGTGAATGGTTTGCCTTTTTGTGGTCATGATAAATACTCAGCATATAAATAACGTTTTGCATGTACAGATACTCAAATAAGATGGACAATATACTATAATTCCAGATCAGCAGATTATTACTTAATGCATACACTATTCTTGAAAAATCCTCATTGTTTGTACTATTTGTATTATTATTTTTTTTTTTCATATGGCAGTCAGTGGTTTTGTTTGAGTGGAAGCAAGGTATCCCACATCATAAGTGGACTGGTCATACAAGAGATGTCACTAAAGTATGTATAGTTATAAATATGCTAGTGGAGTATGCTGTTTATAATACACAGGGTCATGGCAAATGATAAATTTGAGACACCCTGACTGGTATATTTTGAGTGAGTCTGAGACTTTCATAGCATTGTAAAAGAACTTGTGACTCTTGTGAGACCACTCATTCTGTCAAAGAAAAGTTGGTCATACGTTTATATATTTACCAGTGTCATTACTGCTTGTGCTGGTTGATACCCTCAGTGATCAGTTTTGTGAAATAAATGATTTGAATAGCTAAGGTTGTACTTGCAAACTATCTACAGTTGAAGCGTGGTTGAAACAAGATTGATGATAGCACGTGTATAATTATGGTAATTTATATTATCAATATTACATGTAGATTAGTTCAAGGAAGGACAATATTATTATTTTGCTCTCTTGTTTTCCACAGGTAAAACATGTAGGTGCCACAGTATATAGTTCTTCTAGAGATAAAACAATAAAAGCATGGCATCAAGAGAAAAATGATCCTCTCTTGACCTTTGAAGGCCACAGGCTGGTGGTAACTGCTATAGATCTAAATGATGGTAAGACATCAATTTAGCTATTTGCTTGAATGTCTGTGTTTGTGTGTTTGGGGAAGACATGCTCACTAACCTTAATAGTCAATTTGCCAAGCTCATAACAGGCTCATATTTTTATGCTGTGAGTGTTCATGCTAAAAGTCAGATATAGATTTTTAATCATAATGCATTTATTATATGGCCAGCTCCGTGAGCGAGCAAGATGAATCAAATCCTGTACTGTGATTGGCTACCCGAGCGGGCAAGATGGAGCTATCTTGCCTGCTCGGGACTACCCGCCGTGTCCCGCAAGAAAAATTTCCCCGAAAGCCATATAATAAATCCTTTGTGACCAAGCTTGTTCGGTCAAGATGGCTGGATATTGGCCTCTTTCTTTTTTTGTGAGTTTATGGACCTCGACTCTGTCTCTGGCCATAAACATGCAAAAAAAGAACTTGGCCAATATCCAGCCATCTTGACCTCACACTTGGTCAATAACCCATAAAGATTCTGTCTTGATTAAAACAAGTCCAGTTATGATACTAATCATGACAGACAAATGAATATACATGCAGCATACTTAAAGTACATAAGACTTATCATGAGCTAAGGTGAGAGATTTCTTACTCTCATGCATTATTTTTGCCACCCAATGTTTTTCTAACATACCTCACTAGACTCTATTGAAATAAATTAATTGTTACTTATCTTCTATGGCAAGACGATCTCAGCAAGAGCTTGTTAGAGCTTTGTGAAGGAGATCATCTTAAGCTCAGTACTTTGTGAGGAAGGCTAGAGTTATCATTAACAGTAATCAAAATGTCATGGTTGCCATCATTCAGATATATGCATGTAGCAGAATAGAGCCACAAATATTGCATAATTTAATGTCCACAACTATTACAAGTTGCAAACAGTCTACTAAGTATTGTGCTGATTTTTAATACATCATGATTATAATTTTACCTCTCTTTTGAAAGTACACTTAGAACAAAGGTTAGGAAACTGTGTATGGCCATCTTGGTAGAGCATTTCTAAATTCCCTCTTGCCCCTGTTTTGAAGCAAGTCAGGTGCCAACACTTTGATGTGAAAAGATAAATTTGATTATAGGAAAGTCAAGTGGTGATTTAATTTGTATACTAGGATTTAAAACCTGACAATAACAAAAATTAAAACAAAACAAAAAAGTTTTAATACCATCCTATGCTTATGACCTTAATTTGTAGATGGAACATTATTATTCTCTGGGTCAAGAGATAACTGTGTGAGGCTTTGGGACACCACTAGAAAAACAAGTGTCAGTGAAAAGGAAGTGTCTAGAAATCTGGTGAGAATTGTTTTGTTCTTTAGGCATATTCATGAAAGTTAGCTCTTGACAAGGAACTGCTTTGGGAGGTACTAACATTTTTTTCAAGGGGTGGGGGGGGNGGTCTCAGAAGGTGGGTTTAAATTAAGATAACCTTCATGAGGTATGCTTTGATTTGTTTTGTGGTCTAATGGTTATAATTATAGGTAAGTTGTGTGAAATGGATTCCTGGAACTCAGACTCAAGTTGCTCAAACTGGGGAAGACAAAATGCTAAGGTACATAGTACAGTGACAGTATGTTTATTATTGTATTTGACACTGACCAGGCCAATTGGAAAAGGGCATGACCATCTGACTGGTTCTTGATTGTCCTGGTTTTTCTATTTTTTCTTCCCGTACCCTTCTCAATTTATGTGTAACCACACAAACTCTTCTTTAAGATGCAGCAGCAGGTTTTGGCTTGGTTACAGTAGTGATCAGAGCAAGAAAGATGAGATGAGATTGAGATGACTATATTATTGACTTATCTGCATGTTTTGGTAGACACTGTAAATGTTTTTGCCTTTTACTCTAGAGTGTGGGATACAAGGAACATGCAGCCTGTATTTACGTTTCCTGCTCAGCAATACTTTCAGGTATTTTATCTCTTAGGAGAATAAGTTAACTGCTGGTATCTGCCCAATGAATGAGATAATTTAATTTACGACTCAATGTCCATAGGTTTGGCTTTGGCTATTATAAATGATATTTGAACTTTAACTCTTGTTTTGATTTTATAAATCAGTGCATCCACAAAGCAACATGAAAGATACTGCTTTAGGTGACCAAAAATTGCATAAAGGGGAATTTCATACAGAAAAAAAAACACTTTTTAATAACAGCATACTCCATACATTTAAGGGAATAAGGCATCTGTATACCGATTACTTTAAATTAAGATGTGTACTTGCAATCCAAATTCCCATGTTATTTCTTTATCTACATTTCGTTATGGCTTTCTGGTATTATTATCATGACTTTAACTAGTAACTGTCATCTTTTGCATGCATTGTAGACCTTGATGTTAGCCAGTATCTCCTGTCATTGTGGGCAGGCACTAACTATGTATCTGGAGTCCCTAGCATGCTCTGCAGGACTTTGATACAGTTTTTGTTTCTTTGTTTTCCTGTTATTTTTTTTCCCATTGATTTAAACCAGCATTTTGGAGGTTTCACCAATAAGGGAAGGATGGATTTGACAGCAATTACCTAACATTGCACACCCCGCCCAATTTTCAAGGTACATTTAGTTAACCCTTAGTAATTGGTGCCTATTGCTTTTATTTTGAAGACATATTGTGATTGCTCAAGAGATGGACGATTTATTTTGACATGTAGCAATGGATTCAATGGAAAAGGCTGTGAATCCACTGTGAGTTACATTTCTGTTTTATGCTGTTATTGATGAAACACTATTTAAGTCTCACACAGGTGCATGCCCTACATTGAACTGAACCTCTCACAAGTGGACACTCTCAGGACCAGAAAAAGTGTCCACTTAAGAGAGGTGTCTGCTTATGGGAGTTGTCTGTTAGCCAAGGTTCGACTGTATGTTTAAACCATATAAAAATTTAGGAAACAAGTGGGAGCTTTTTTCTGCACTAAGTTGGAGTTGCAGCCGGCCTCCAGTTCAGGCAGTCTGCATTCAGGCCCTGGCCGGGGTTATTGCATTGTGTTCTTGGGCAAGAAACTTAACTCTCACGGTGCTCTCTCAAACATGCACACCCAGATGTGTAAATGGAGCTGGAAATTGAATGAAGTAAAGGGACTAACATCCCATCTAGGTGAGGACTAGAACTAGTCAGTTAGACCTAGTTATTTGGTGCTACTAAAACCAGAGATAAATGAAAATGCCATCCTGTTTGGCCAGTAGGTTTGAATACAGACTTGACCATTCTTACTGTCAACTATAATAATTAAGAGCAAATCTGTTTGATTGACAGCTTTGGGATGTGAGAGCACAGCAAATGATCTGTCGGTACATTGGCCACTACCAAACTACATCTGCTTGCATTTTTCTTCCTCGTTTGGAACATGTTTGGTCTAAAGATCTGTAAGTGGTATATTAAAAACAGTTTATTTTCAAAGCTAATATATAGATTTAGGCCAGCCTAAAAGCGTAGTTCCTGGGCCAGGTTGTTCAAAGCCCTATGAAGCTAACCCAGAAAAACCTAGAATTTTGATTTGAGTTTTGTAACTTTGCAGTGAGGTTTTCTGTATATTGTCTGGCCTTCTGTTTTGAGTTTTAATAATCACCCTATACACAAAACAAAACAGCAAAAAACATTTGTATGGAAGAAAAAGTTACAATTTAACTTTTAATCCTGGGTTAGCGTTAATCGCCTTCCGAGCAATCCTGCCCTGTTTCCAACAAGCAACCTAATATGAGCCTGCGATCCAATCGATAATCAGCACTTGGTCAGCGGTCAACTTCAAAAAACACGTGATCTCAAGGAGTTGTAAACTTGAGCCCACAATATGGTCACGTGATACTGGTCAGCAGATACCTTGTTTTGACAGGTGTCAATTGATCATAACATGGATGTCCGATATTAAGGAAGTACAAGGTAAACCAAGGCTGCATGTCTGTCAACCTATTATTTGGAGTATGGCCGCCATGTTGGGCAACTCCATCGCCGTCGTCGCCGTCGTGCGTACGCACCCACAAGCAATACCACTAGCCATGATGACCATGAGAAAATCAACTCAAGGGTTTCTTTTTCTTTCCTATATGAGTATGGGGCTCCGCTTGGCAGCCCTTTGGGCTGCCGGAGCTCTGCTGTAAACAGTATTGCTGGGTAATGTTTTACTGAACAGGACAGCAAGGAACTCTCAAATAAACATAATGCAAATTCCTAGGAAGATTAGAAATTTCTGTTGGAAAAGTTGAGAAATATGTTAGCATGATGTCATGCACCTGCATAGCCAATCAATCATGCAGCTGTTTACAAAGTGAACTGATGTTATAATATAGTATTCAAAAATGGCATTTGAATGTTTTAAATTTCTTCTATTGCTTCTGTTTATCAGAATTGCTACAGCCTCGCATGATTCAACCGTGAAAATCTGGGAAAGAGAAGGAACAGGTACCTTGAGAAGACTAGTAATATGTTCAACATTTCCCGTACAACTTGTTGCACTACATTGTTGAATTGCAATTTGTAGAGCACTATTACATGTATTAGCAACTGTTTTTGTAAGTTGCAGCAATTTGTTGCACAGAGAAAATATAAGTCCAACTCCTGTATTGGACTCCTGTGAAGGCATAACATATTTGCCACAATGTCAGGCCCTCTGGTAATGTTCTCCTGGTTTTTCAATTCTCATGCTTTGGCAATATACCAAGCTTGTAAATTTAACTGAGCTAAGACTGAATTTTTCATGTAATTGAGTAGATGTCAAACACATTTACCATATGAGTGAATGAGTACCCCTAGCTCCGACCATCATCTTTTTTTAATTTGACCCAATTTTATCATGAGTGCTTTGTGAGTATTTGCTTCTTGTTATACAGAAATCTCCAACACCATTGTTGGAAAACACACCCTCTGATTGGTCCAACACTCTTTTTCTGATCCAAGAATATGTCTCTCATCTAAGCTTAACTGTAAACTTGAATAAAAGTTTGAATCAGTTCAGTGTGCAATGTAAACCTTCAGCCTAAGACTGCCAGAGAGTTCTAATAAACTACAACTACTAAACTAATATTACTACTAATATATGTAAGATGAATTCTTAAGTGAGGGTACAAAAGACTTTCAATTATTTTCAGAATGTATTACCACTCTTGATTGTGCTGGAGCTGGTCCATTGACTGATCTCTGTGTGTGGGATGATGGAAGGTTTGTTTTCGTCATGTCAAACAATCTCTTTATTATAACGTTTTATGTATTGTACATCCAGTTTCCACTCAGCATCTTGTAAGGAATTGGGCAGGTTTTCTTTTATAACTTTGTTTTGTACATGTATTTGACTCTTTGTTCCATAAATCTGGATTCAACTTACGTTACTGAGTTTCTAACCACAACTAGCAGAGTCGTTGAAATTCTTACTGAAGTTCCAGTTAATCCTGAGAGTACAGAAATGGCTTGATAGTGCCAAGAGTGCCGATTAAAATAAGCAATTAAAATTGTCATTTTTTTAAACATGTACCGAAAAGCGAACAAACAAAAAGTGTTCTGTAACCCTGCAGTTATTTCTTAAAGTTGTTCCTGTTTTCTCTAATCATTTGCACTTTTTCTATCATCTAGTATATGCATTTCCACAACAAATATGGGCGTGTTCCAGTGCGTATTGGACTCCTGTGAAGCCAAACCACAGCTCAGGAAGAAATGTCAATTTTAGCTGTTTTGCACAATGGTGTAACATATAACATATTAGACAAAAAGTAGAAGTTTTAATTCACCCCCAAAGATAGGAATTTAAAATTTCCATCAGGTGAAAATGTTTAAATTGTCATTTATGTATGTAAGTTTATTTATGCGTCAGGGTTGAACCCTGAGTATGGCAACACAATTTGCTTTTGCTAACTTATTTACTTATTATTTAGATATTGAACATTCTCAGTCATAAACATTTTATTTTGATTTTGTTCATTTTTTTTAAGAATTTTCTATTTACATGTAAAACTATTAAAATCAATGTAATAGTTACATACAAATCACAATTTCTTTGCTTCTTGAAGCTCTTTCACTACCCAAGCTACTGAAGTGGGCCGCCTTCCTATCATAAACCATTTTTGTAGTCACTGCACGTCTGATCAACAAGTAATGTTCTTCATGCAGATTCATGAATGATATATTGTTGGTTCTAATTGCCATTCGTTACCAGCGTAAATTCCCAGTGTTGTGTAAATATTGGGCTTGTAGCGTAATGTAAATGTCACTCCCAAAGTCCTGAGACTTCTCTCGACAGCCCACACTTGCTCTTTCTTTGTGAAATCTTCATTGTAGATGAGAATAGTATACTCCATCAATTGGTTGTCACTCGTAAACACATTGGCAGCACTTCCCAGGGTGCCACTCACCACTGCTTTGGCAACACTGGTCCAAATTTCATCAATGTTAGTGCTGTAATACAGAGGAAATATTATTGCATCAGATTCCAGGCCGTTTTTCTTAGTTTTTCAAGATTTCAGATCTAAATTACTTAAATTGATGGTGTAAAAATACCATATCAAGAGCAGTCCCTCTTTCTCCTTGGTCCGTCACAGTGAGAGAAAACTTGAATGGTAAAATGGTTGTGCATGACTGAGAAAATTACATATTCACGCATGTTAATATTTTCAACTGCAGTGCAAATTTATGTTTATTTATCTTTTAAAAAATATAAATTGGTCGGCTCTCAGCTAATCACAGTAATATGACTTTCTCAATCNGAGTTGTGAAATCAAAGAGCACATGGCTGTTTTGATGGAAAGTCTTAACACAGTTTTGATAAATTCAGTAATACATAAGGTAATTTTGTCAAGCTGGATTGGCCGCATTCACCAGATGTCAGACTAGGGCAGTCAACATTGTATTGTTGGTAGTCACTGCACGTCTGATCAACAAGTAATTAACGTTCTTCACGCAGATTCATGAATGACATATTGTTGGCTCCAGTTGCCATTCGTTACCAGCATAAATTCCCAGTGTTGTGTAAATATTTGGCTTGTAGCGTAATGTAAATGTCACTCCCAAAGTCCTGAGACTTCTCTCAACAGCCCACACTTGCTCTTTCTTTGTGAAATCTTCATTGTAGACGAGAATAGTATACTCCATCAATTGGTTGTCACTCATAAACACATTGGCAGCACTTCCCAGGGTGCCACTCACCACTGCTTTGGCAACACTTGTCCAAATTTCATCAATCTTAGTGCTGTAATACAGAGGAAATATTATTGTGTCAGATTCCAGGCCGTTTTTCTTAGTTTTTCAAGATTCCAGATCTAAATGATTTAAATTGATGGTGTAAAAATACCATACCAAGAGCAGTCCCTCTTTCTCCTTGGTCCGTCACAGTGAGAGAAAACTTAAATGGTAAAATGGTTGTGCAGGACTGAGAAAATTACAAATTCACGCACTTTAATATTTTCAACTGCAGTGCAAATTTATCTTTATTTATCTTTTAAAAAATATAAATTGGTCGGCTCTCAGCTAATCACAGTAATATGACTTTCTCAATCATTAATAAAGGTATAAACTTTAAAAATTGGAATTAATTTTAAAATGAATTGGTTTCTTGTGGAGAATGAGCCTGTTTACACTACTCCTGAGACTACGTACGTAAAAACTTGGGTTAGACTGTCACAAAGTCGTTTATTTTTCTGGTTTTACAAAACCTCACGCTCTCCTCCTGGTACTGTACTAATAGCACATTGCGTGAGCATCGCGTTGTGTCACGCAACACACTCCGCAGGGGATACGTGCATGAATGTCGATTGAGAAAGATGGGTTGAATATCGGTAAACGAAATTAACCAAAGTGAAACCAACTAAAGACGTCGAGCGCACTCCACTAATCTTTGATTACCGCTAGTTACCGGTATATGTAAATTTAGATCTGGAATTTTTTCGAAAATTCCGGGCTTCCGGTCAAATTGGTATTCGGCCTCCAAAGGAGCGAAGCGCTGATCAGAAAGAACCGCTTGTTTCCAAACAAAAATATTATACTTTTCTTCCTACCTTGGGCAATTGAATAACCACTTCCCTGACTTGTAAGAATGTTTCTTTGCTAAATGTTTCACATCGTCGTTGGTAATCTTCCCACGTTTCTTTGTCTTTAATTTTTCCCACCTTTCAAGAAGTATCTGTTTCTGAGGTTCGGGAATCGACAATGGGAATTCAAACACGGTTGGTCGTCGTTGAGGATCACCTGCGAAAACCGCCATATTTACAAGCTTCATAGAGGAAGGTCGGTTTTTTTCAAGAAAGTCGCTGAGGGGACTACTTCCATCGAAAATTATCCAGCTCTCCATTTCGTGACCTGCCATGTTCTTTCTCGTCCCCAGTCTGCTGGCTGGGGGAAGGTAAATAATTTGTATTCAGCCTCGCTCGTCTTGCTTGCCTCTTTTGACAGATTACATGACACATGTGGACTCGCGCCTTTTGGCATTTTGTGACCTACGACGGAACCACCGTAAGAAGGCAGGTTAGTAAGAAGTTTTACAAAGTTCACCGGAAGTAAGCCTGTCTTTTAGCCCGAGCGCACATTTTCGCTGGCTCAGAAGTCTCACAGAATGCAAGTCAAAAAACATTTTGGGTTTTTTGTTTGAAAGTATTTTAAGGCATTTAATTACAAAAGGTAAAAATTAACGTTTTGTATTTTTCTCCTACTTTCCACCCTTTCTCCTCGCGCCCACTATTTTCCCGGGCTCCCACCCACTTGTCCCAGAACATGACTAAGTATCTAAATGACTGTATTTTGTAAACTTCAGTGGTGGAGATAATTTTGTAGTGAAGGCTAATAGACATTTGGATAGTTCCTCTAATTCTCCCTGTTTGATTATACTAAGAAACAAATCTCTGTAGAAGAGAAGACAAAANCAGCAAGTGGAATCGTGCGCTGGATGATTTGTATTTGTTCAATGAAGGACGGGGCAGCTCACGGCGTACCGAAGGCCAGCCAACTGAGCAAAACTGTTAACGTGGGAAGGACGTCCTACCCTCCCGAGTGTTACTAAATGGAATAACGGAGTAACGAGAAAAACATTTAAAGGGTTAAAAATAATTTGTATTCAGCCTCGCTCGTCTTGCTTGCCTCTTTTGACAGATTACATGACACATGTGGACTCATGCCTTTTGACATTTTGTGACCTACGACGGAACCACCGTAAGAAGGCAGGTTAGTAAAAAGTTTTACAGAGTTCACCGGAAGTAAGCCTGTCTTTTAGCCCGAGCGCGCATTTTCGTTTGATCGCTGGCTCAGAAGTCTCACAGAATGCAAGTCAAAAAACATTTTGGGTTTTTTGTTTGAAAGTATTCTAAGACATTTAATTACAAAAGGCAAAAATTAACGTTTTGCATTTTTCTCCTACTTTCCACCCTTTCTCCTCGCGCCCACTATTTTCCCGGGCTCCCACCCCCTTGTCCCAGAACATGACTAAGTATCTAAATGACTGTATTTTGTATACTTCAGTGGTGGAGATAATTTTGTAGTGAAGGCTAATAGACATCTGGATAGTTCCTCTAATTCTCCCTGTTTGATTATACTAAGAAACAAATCTCTGTAGAAGAGAAGACAAAAGTAATTACTAGACGGGAAATACCAAAATGTATTGATCGAGGGTGGGGGTGGGGGTGGTACTTCCAGAAAAGTTGGGTAGGGTGTGCGGCCCACTTCTCAACACCCTTTCCCTATTTATGACCAAAATCTGCGTTTTTTGTTACCCTATTTATGACCTGACCAAAAATTCGATAGCCTATTTACGACTGTTCCGGCTGACACAGTTGCCCTAAACATAAGTTATGAAGAGCTTTTATTGAAGGGCATTTATTGACGGTCTTCAGGAAACATACCCAATTCAAGACTGGGGTGCTAAAACCATTCCCCACTTATAACCAAAATGGCCAAAATCGATACCCTATTTGTGACCAAAACGGCTGAAAAACCCTACCCTTTAGGGCCCCACATACCTATAAAGCCCATATAAAGGAGTACCCCCGTGGTACAGTGTATAGATAATCTGTTCAGTCTTTTTTGATATTAATAACTATTGAACTGTTGGTTTCCATGTATTAATTAATTAATGGAAATAAAATGGGCCTGATGAATTGAACTTTTGGTTTCAGTCTCTGGATTCAATGTAGTCGTAGTCATATGGACTTTATGCTTTTAGCAGTACAGAAACAAGTAGAAAGGAGCGCTATACCATTATTCTTGGAAATCTGTATTCTCGGCTATGCAGGGATACAAGTAGGGCGTGGCTTGAATGGTTTTACTCAAGTCCTTCCGCGTTTAGGAATTCCTGGCCTTGCTAAACTGATCGTGACGCATTCCTTTCTGTTCCCCTTCGTTTCCAGGTCGTTTCGCCGAGCTTTCCTTTGTGCGGTCCACTTTGCGCAACGGTGCATGTTCATCGATGGGTTCCCGATCCCCGTGAATTCGCAGTGGGTGCCCTTCCCCCACCCCTAACACACAAACTCAGACTTCGAGTTTCTGATCTGTAACGTAGAGTTCTGATAATAAAATCTCAGCTGATATGATGGGTGTCAAGACCAGGTCGACCTCCAACATGGATAATGATTGATGGGTGTCTGTCAGCTCTAGCGGGAAACTGAAGTGGATGGAAGAGGAATGCCAAAGCCTTATGGCATGTAGAGATATAGGTATTCCGAGGTATGATGGGTTTTGTGGTGATCCCCGCCGCAAGAGCGAGAAAAAATCCGAGTATATTTTTATGCGAAGCATAGCATTTTCAATACTGTTGAATTGCAACAGATTTAGAAACTAGACCTACTTTCATCCAGTGATTCAAGTGAAGTAAACAAATCGGGCCGAAAATTCGTTATATCTTGACTTGTTTGACTGAACCAACAAATAGGGCGGACAAATCGCAGCGTATAAATTTGCCATGATTTTATACTGAAAAGGGTGGACAAGTAGGCGTAACCCACAGAAAATCTGCTTGAAAAAGAGACGATCCGCGCGAAAAAACAGCCAATCAGCACTTGGATCTATCCCACGTGGGAAGCAACTGTCACTGTCACTGTAAAAACATCCGCTAGGAAAAAGAGCCAACCAGGAATTCAAACTAACTCATGTCGGATAACATCAATGTTCGCGTAAAATCCTTGCCAACAAAGGAAAAAAATAACCTAACACAGCATTCCCTTGCGAATCACAAAAAAACTTAGTTCTGATTTAGCAAAATTAATAAGAGTGAAAGAGATTTTTTGCAGCTGTTTAGTGATGGGAAGCCCTAGAAAAGCAAAGAGCCACCGCCAATCAGGATACAACATTAGCATGTGTGGATAGTGAGGTTCAGCTAAAACCCTGGCGCAGTTGGCACAGGGTTCATTCAGCTTTTGACAGATCCAGCGAATATGAGCGCCAGGTATCCGAAAAAAGATCTTTACAGTTTGCTTTCTTCCCTAAATTATCTACGTCAAAAATAATCCATCAACATTTAGAAGTTTGTTGAAAAGAAATTTCTTGACAAAAGGAATGAGGTCAGTGCTATTTTGTGTTTGAGTAATTTCCGGTATACTTTACTGCGCAAATGTTTCGAGACGTGACAAACCAAACATGACATTCCTTAGGTGTTTTTCATTTTTACATTGTAACTTTTCAAATAATTTAAGTTTAATTTACTTAGCCCTTAACTTAAGTTTTAATGCTGTTAGCAGAAATTGCCCGTGAAGCGACTTTCTAGTTCAGCTCATGAAGGAATTCAGTTCCAGCAGTGTTCACCGATCTTCACTCCCGAACAAAACACGTGGAGACATTGAAACACCATGTTCACAACCTTGGCGTTTCTTCATCAACCCGCACTCGAGTTAGGCGCCTTGTTCTATTCTTTAAACGATGTTTCTTTATTTTGTTAAAAACTGTTGATTCATAAAACTGTTTGTAATGGACACTGCACCAAGACGTTTCTAAGAATTTTAGGTTTTTTTTTCTCAAGTTTACAAATGCGACTCGACATAAAGTTAAGTTCAGTCCAGTTTTCGTTGAAATCCTCCTTGTCCTAAAGCTTTTTCCGGATTAAATTTCACGAAAAGTGAGAGCAATGGTGCGGTTATGGTTTGGCGGGAAAACCTTTTGGAAAACAACTCCATCTGGGGAATACTTCCCTTAAAAGGGATAAGGGTTAAGGGTTAAGTCAGTAACAAAACAGAGTAATTAGTTTTCTGTCTTGGGGAAGTTACTTTAATTGCATTTTTTACGTTTGGGATCGGACTAGAACATTCCACTGAGGTTAGAATTCTATGCCAAATAATTTCATAATATCTGATTTCGAAAATAAATGAGTGATCAATGTAAATAATTTAACAAAATCAGATCTTACAGAAATTGTGCGCATTCCACATGGGTTACTTCGCGCCATAACTGTTCGATTTCCAAAGATGATGAATTTTTATATCGTTCATCAAAAAGCCTATTCACACCAAAACTGTGTCAACTGTGCAAAGGATAAGTGCAGTTATTACAGTCGGATGATGTTCACTTTGTTCTTCATTAACTGCCTTGTTTTATTTTTCAGCTCTCTTCATTTCATGATGACCAGTTCTTCTCCAGTCAGCCACTGCCATAAAAAAGACATTTCAAAGACAGACCACCCAGCCTGTTATTCATCAATATGCTGAGTGCTACACCCAAGCCAGACAGGACTCTGATGAAAAATCAAAGTGGTGGTCAGTACATTCACTGTGGGCTGGGAGGGGTGGGTAAATAGAGCTCTGGATGAACCTTACAAAGCATACAAGCACACACTTTCG